TTTTCCTTAAAAAGAAGTTCATCTCGATGAAGAAGACGATTATTCGGATTCCCCAACCCGAAACCAATCGGCCGCATATCAAAACCAGCAAGAACACTAGCCATTTCCATATCTTAAGCTGCCATAGATCCAGATTTTTCAATGAAGGGATGACTAAGCTGCAAAGCAGAGCACCGATGATAACAATAAGACTCAAATATTGAATCCAAGTGAATGCATTAAGAGTGGTTCTCTTGTACTCATCGGGAAAATCTTCATCTGCAAAAGGGTCATCGTCTTCTTCATTTTCCGAAGCTTTCCCTAACATTCCGGACTTCATCTGACCCGAAGCTCCTAACAAACCGGACATCAATTGTACCTCTTCCGGTGACCTGTCTATAAGCCTCGACTTAGTACTCCTCAGCCTCGATAGCAAACCCGACTTTCCATAAGGAGCAGAAACGTTCGATAAACGTCTCGATGCATCTTCGTTCCGATCGTTTATCCCGTTTCCGTCGTGTCCTTGCGATTGGTTTTGGAAACTCGCGGCGCCTGTTTCGAAAGAAACTCTTCTAGAGTCTCGAGATATAGCGGACGGATCGTGTCTAAGATCATCTATGTCTACCCCCATCTCTAATGCAATCTCGTTGCTGTTGGTGCTTTTGTTCATGAGATGATCATTCATTATCTTCCACGATTGTTCGCCCGTCGGCCACCGTTGCTTGTAATCGAAGCCATCATTACCACCGTCCATCTTCTCATCCCTATCGCCCCAGAACTCGTAATTGGGCTGCCTGAAACTGGTTTCGTGGTTTGGATCTCTGTTTCCTGTCCTCGACTCTGCCGGCTCAAGCGATACCGAAGATTTCCTGGGATCCCCATCCATGGCGAACAGCGCTTCCTCGTATCGAAATCGGATAGAGTCGGAACCTCTTCGGTGCTGGATTTATTGCTTCTTTCCTCCACGTTGTTGGACGAGTTCGACGATCAGAAGGCCTTTGGTTTCAATTCCGGCATTGAGGATTCGCTTCAATGAAGGCCATGGCTGCAATGCAAAAATTTCGATCTTAAACGTAGGGTTTGGAGCTGCTAAGATACTGATGTCGTGCTTGATCTTCTTCCAAATGAATTTTTCTTCTCTTTTTCTGTTGAGAAAACTGAAAGAGAAAAAATTGTTAATGGTAACATACTAACAATCAAGAAAGCCAAGAAAGAGAGAAGCAATATGAAGATTAGAGTAAAAGGTGGCGTTGAAGACGAAAGAGACAGAGAAAATGCATGGTTACACAGTTAGTGTTAATTATAAAGAGTAAGATATAAGAATTTCTGGGGGGGGTTTCCATCTAGAATAACTAATTTCTGATTTTCATTTTTTTTTATCTAATTTCCAAGTTCAAGGTCTTCTCCCTCAAATAATATACAATTTTCTAATATTCGTAATATTTATTTGTATCCGTAATATTTTTATCTTTATCAAATATTACGAATGATATGCCCTGGTAAAATGTTCAATCAATTTAGGATAAACCATGAATTTCATCATTTAATTTTTCTTCTCATTCTTATTTTGGTCATTAAAATTTAAAGATATTCAATTTACTTATAAATCTTTCGATTTGCTCCTATTTTAATCACTCGGTTTGACGTAAATGAAATAATGACATGGGAGTCATATATACTGGCGTGGACTGTTTTTTATTGACATGGAATTTATGTGTCATCCATGTCACTTTCTCTTTTCTTTCTTTCTTTTTTTTAATTTTATCTTATTCCTCCAAAGATGAAAATTTTACAGTTTCATCCTTATTTCACATTGGCTCTGCAATTACCATTCTTAGACCACTCCAAATATTGAAAAACTCATCTCATTATCTCCTATCACTCTGTCGATTTAGATTTTGACCTAAATCACTTCAAATCTCACCTATAAACCCTAAAACTAATAAAATCTCAAACCACTCTTATCTATAGTATATGCCATCCAATCAATATAAAATCAAGATGTACAACGTATTTTCTCCTTCTCCACTGTCCTATCGTTAGGATTTGAAAGAAAATACTTCATCATTGATAAATCACATAAAATTCAAAACTAGTATTTTTTTACCAAAAATGTGGAGATGTTTCATAATTCTAGAAGAAAAATGTCAAGTTATAACACCGTTAAGTATTGATCAACGGAGTGACCAAAATCAGAATAAATTGAAATTTTTTAAACTTTAGTGATCAAAAATAGGAGTAAGAAGCAAGTTGTGTGATGAAATTTATAATTTACCCTATTTTTATTAGTAAGAAGCAAGTTATTTGATGAGAGTAGATCCTGACGGTCCCTCTTCTCACGTAGATGGCGACTTGAAAGTAGGTAAAATCTGAAGGAAGAAGGGAGATTTAAAACTTCACGTGTTGACAGAGAGGAGGAGACATGTGAAAACCATTAACAGTGTTGCAAGAAAGTTTTCACGCGAGGTAGATGAAGACTTGATCCCAGTATTTTGAACCAAAAAAAGTTATAGAAAAAAGTCAACCAATTCCTACGTGTCACTGTGTACGCTCACGTTCAGCTTCAGAACCAAAACCCAACAACTCATAAAAAGCTTGCACTTGTAAACACCGGAATATAAATGAACAATTACTTCTACCTACACATATTAGGTCAAACAACTTAAGATTTTGGGGTTTATCACACGAGAGATCCCCCAAACTATAGTCTAATTCGGTAGTACAACAAATATTCACCCTTTCTTCTGATTTAACGATGATTTAATTGCTCATTAAAAAAAAGGGTAATCTATGTCAAATACCACTCATCTTTATGCTCGGGATCGAAAATGCCACTAACGTTTCAATTTTGCCAATTTTAGCACGGATGTTTATGTTTCACTTCAATTTTGTCACACCGCCGTTAATCCGTTAACGGCACGATGACATGGCGTTCGAATGCCGTGACTGCGATGACATGGACGGTTTATTAAAGTTTTTTAGTCCACGTAGGATCGTTGTTGGCATTTGATTGGTATTTTGTGTTATATAAATAACTAATTTAACCCTATATTACCCCATTTGCTTCATTTCTCCTCTTATTTTCAGCAGCAGAAGAAACATGAAGAAAGAAGAAGTTCGACGGTGGAAGAAGCAGAATAATGGAGCAAGCCTTTGCATATCCAGTCTGTGGGTGTGGATATCCGGCTCAACTGAGGACATCATGGTCCAATGATAATCCCGGGAGAAGATTTTTTGGCTGTAAAAACTATGGGAGTTTGGTTGTACCCGGTTGTCGATTTTTTTGCTGGTTTGACCCTCCTATGACTCTACGAGCACGTGTTGTTCTTGTGGGATTGTTGAAGAAAATCAAAGCAATTGAAATTAGGAGGAGGAATGAGAGAATTGTTTGGGGTATTATTTTTATTTTAGGGTTTGTATTGGGTTGGTACGTAAAACAAATGGTGATGGTGAAAAAAATTTAGGGTGGAATTTGTGATGATAGTACTTATTGGTTTGTAATGGGATGAAAAATTGAGGGTGAAAATTTTAGGATTAACGGGTTTTTGCTTGTTAAATATGATGGTGCTTGTTAGATGGTTTTGTAAAATTAGCTACTGAGCTTTGCTTGTTAAAAAACTTGGTGTTTTGGTGCTTTGATGCTTACAGTTTTTTTATCTTTAAAATGTCAAACATGAATGATAAACAAAATAAATTTTATTCAATAAGAGTTGTAGTTGATAATCAACACATGTGTACAACAACATAAAGTGCACATAAGCACTTAAGTATCAACCTATAAAACCCAGCAAAATATGACACAAAATATCAATGTGAATAAACACATGAGTTCAAAAGACAGTTCATAAACTTAAGTATTCAATCCAAAATATCAACCCAAGTATCTAAGTTCTGAAATCATCCAAATAAAATTGGAGAATATCAACCTATAACATCCTTGGTCGTTTTGCAAAAACATTTCGACATTCTTCTTGGGAAGACTGGGTTATAGTGCTTAACTGGCTTAATTGTTGGCTGGTAGTTACATATTCTTGTGAGGGTGGCATCCATCTAACTGACATTACATTTTCTGTTTGCTGGTTGGTTGGATAAAAGGTGTGGCTTGGAGTAGGAATAAAGATAAATGGAGGCTCAGCTTGTGATGATGATGGTGGTTGTGATGTTGCAGCTTGTGATGATGTTGCAGCCTTTGATGATGGTGTAATCCTTGTTGTAGTTCTTCTCCTAACCTGTAGTCATAAGTGTACCAAAATCTCAAAACATAATTGTAATTGTGATATAAGGTTAAAAAAGAATAAGAAATATATACATGTAGTTTTCTCCGGATGTGCCGTGATTCAACCCTTATTTCATTGGTTTCTCTTGTTGAGTTGAAATTAGGTCGCCTAGGTTGCATGTTGCCTCCAACTATCCCTTTGCAGGTCCTTTGGTTGTGTCATGGTTGACCACACTTGGAGCAATACATCATTAGACCTTTCTTGCTCATTGTAACATGAGAATTTGTAGGCTCATTCGCTTCCTTTCTCCTTTTTTTTAGGTCTTCCTGGTGGTCTTCTAATTATTGGTGGTATAACTGGTTCACAAGTGGTGTCAGTTAGCCACTGATTGGGGCCTCTCATGGGTTGAATGAAGTGACTATAAATTTCTCGTTGAGTGGTTACAAAATAAGAGTTGTGAACATAAGCTTCAGGCCTTTGATTATTTAACACCATTACAGAAACAACATGTATGCATGGGATTCCTATCGATGAAAGAAATAAAAGTGGTTAAATTAATAAAGTAAATGAGAACAATATTGTAACATAATACACTTGATACAAACTAGTGAGATCCCACTTTCTACATGAACATGAATGATTTTCTAAATCAATAGCATGCTGGTTAGATGGTCCAGCATACACTTGATATTTTTTACCTTCTGCGTGTGTAGGCCAGCACCTACACATAAAAATGAATCAAGAATAAATAACTTAATTGGAAACAAACTTAATAGTACCTACACATTAGTAAGAATAAATAGTTTAACAATACCTAGTGGACTGTTGAATTGCAAGTTCAATTTTCTTTTGGATTCTTGGACACAAACTTCCAGTGTACTTGTTTGCAACTTCCTTTTTCTTGGCAATATTTTCCATTATCTTGGTCCTAATCATCTCCATTAAAGTCAAAATTGGTTTATCGCGGCTTCCAGAATCATCTTGTAACAGAACCAAAAAATGGCTTAGAATCATATTATAATATAATCATATTTAAATAATTTTATTCATTTTACCTTGTTAAAACACTCAGACAAATTGCTGAGAAGCATGTCTGATTTCTCCTTGGGGAGAAATGAGATTTAGACCATTTGACAGGGCCTTTTGCATTCAACCAATCAAAGGCTGGTTTTGATAATGCTTTCAGTTCATCCATTGCATATTCAAACTCTTTTTTGTAGGTAGCTCTAGCTGCCTTCCACAGTGCATCCTTTAAGTTTTTTCCTTTGAATTGAGCATTATTCTTAAAGTTGGAGTACAAGTGTCTCACACAAGTCGTATGCTCAGCATTAGGTAAAACATGCATCATTGCCTCAACCAGTCCCTAAAAAACAAGACACAAAGTATTAGAAAAATTGTTCATAATAGAAAGGAATAATTAATTAAAGGGTAAATCAAAATTACCTTTTGTTTGTCTGACATAAATGTGATATTATGGGAGGTTTCAATCTCCAAATCAGTTGCCAACAGTAACAGAAACCAAGTCCAAGATGATTCATTTTCACTCTCAACAACAGAATAAGTAATTGGATAGATGTTGTCATTACCATCAATACCAACAACAGCCAAAAGAGTACCTCCATAATAGCCCTTAAGGTGACAACCATCAATGCTAATTATAGGTCTACAACCTTTGAAACCTTCTTTGCATGCTAGTAAACATATGTACATTCTTTCAAACACTCTATTATCCAATTTTAGAATGGTTGTGCTTCCAGGATTAAAAGACCTAATTTCTCCAAGATAATCATATATCTTTGAGTATTGACCCTTGTGACTCCCAAGGACCATATCAAGAGCTAAGTGCTTAGCTCTCAAGCATTTACTCAATGACACTTTATATACATGATCTTCTAATACATTCTGCCTTAAAGCTGTAATTGGGTACTGAGGATTAGCCCTAAATTTTTCAAGATATGTTTTAGACATCCACTTATAGGTTGCATTTTTATTTTTAAAACCCATCAAACAATTATGATCTCCTACATAAGACTTAATTTGCCATGAGGTGTTTGTTTCATCTTTTAGATCAACCCTTGATGTCCAAATATACCACGGACACCCTTCCTTGCAAACAACATGCACCCTAACACTGTTAGTTCTTTTGAATCTGATATTAACCCTATTCTTAATCCCATACTGCCTGACAGCCTCTTTGAACTTCAACTTATCACCAAAAATCATTCCAACTTTAAACTGTGGGTTTTCCATATCAGTTTCATCGTTAAACTCAGGACATCTATGTTTTCCTCGACCATCAGAGTCGGACTCAAAATCAGATTCAGTTTCAGTATGCAATGACTCTAATTCATCAGTTTCATTTTCATCATTCAAAGATGCATTAATATTTCCCTCATCTCTATTGTTTAACCCATTAAAATCTCTTTCAAAATCTACACCCACATATACCTCATGTACAGACCCCTCTTCCTCACTCACATCATTTTCACTGTATTCAAAACCACTTACAGAAGAATCAGTGTCATCAGCAACATATTATGTATCTTCTTCAGAGTTTAACTTAGTCATGAATGTTTCATAAGTTTCATGAGTTTCATGCATTTCAGTTATAACAGTTTCATGAGTTTCAGTTGCATTGTGATATCTGGTTTGAGTGGTTTCAGTGGTTTCGTTCGAGAAGTTTGCTTCATTTTCTTCTAAGTACAAATGAATGTGCCTATTCCTGGGCATATCTTCTAACATGCTAATGATATCACAATCTGTTCTTAATGGCTTAACAGTAAATTTATGCCCAGATTGTTTCCAAAACAAATGCCACAAACCAGAATAACCTAACTCTTCCACAATATCATACATTTCAAGCATTGACATATTGTCCACATGGCACGTATCAATAAAACTTACCTCCTTTCCAGTGTATTTAAAACCATATGAATTTACCATAAAGCCACCATGATGCATAACAATTGTAAAATATTCAGATTCTCTACCTGTCAAAATGCATTAAAAAATCAGCCAGCATTAAAAATTAACTTTACAATACTGGTGGTCCCCTTACACTACTTTTACAACATTGATAGCAAACAAACAGACAAAACCAGTAAACGGTCCATCATTAACTTGTAAAAACTAAAATTTGGGACCACCGTTGATGACAACTATAGAACAATTAATCATATATGCAACAAATTTGATGCAACAACCACCGACCATAAAAAAAAATTAAAAATACCCAACATCCAACAATATACATTTATATGGATAAACTATTCATTCAATACAGTCATATGCATCGGCATAAAAATCATGCGGGAAAGCAACAACAATCATATTTTATACTCTTTTCGAATACAACAAATAGTTACATTGATATACACTGCCATAAAACACTGTCAGTTCTTTTGGAATACAACAACTATGCATTCAACACAGTCATATATGCACCGGAATAAAAATCATGTGGGAAATCAACAACAATCATATTTTAGACTCTTTTGGAATACAAAAACAGAAATAAAACCATATTTAAGTTACATAAATAACGAAGAAAACAACAAATAGTTAGAGATAGAGTGTTTTCATAAAAACCCCTAAAAGTATTTCAGAAAAATCCCTAAAAGTATTTCGAAAAAATCTTAAAAAACGTCAGAGGCTTTTCAAACGCCATTACCGTATTTCATGCTCGCCATTCCTTTCGATCGCAAGAATCGTTTCTCCATTTTGCTTTTGCAGCGACAGATGAAATGAAGGAAATGTTTTTCAGTGATAGAGAATTTTTACGCTCTTTTGGAATACAAATGAACAAAATGAATGAAAACTTCTGGTTCATTCATCTGATGGGTTGTATTTGGGAAACCAACGCAAAGTTTTAATTTTTTTTGGAATACTAATGAATTGTTTAATGGGTTTTGGGAATAATAAAACACAAAACTATAAAACTACACCGTTTTAGGAATACAAATAGTCATTTGCAAAATTACGTCGTTTTACTAAACCGTCCATGTCATCGCCGTCACGGCATTCGAACGCCATATCATCGCGCCGTTAACGGATTAACGGCAGAGTGGCAAAATTGAAGTGAAACATAAATGTTCGTGCTAAAATTGACAAAATTGAAACGTCAGTGACATTTTCGATCCCGAGCATAAAGATGAGTGGTATTTGACATAGATTATCCTAAAAAAAACAGTGATTGCTGATTTAACAGCCAAGGGGTCAACTGTTCAATCAAAGGAAAACTCACAATGAACCTGTAACTTATCCTATTGGATAATTCAAATTACTCGTAAAACTTATATTCGAATGCTAATACCTACAAAATATAACCTTTCTTTTATATCCCAATGAAAACGGCTGGCTGAAAGAATTGACATCCATGGTTGTAGACGACCATAAATCATAAGAGAAACAAGTGAATGAAAAATACTGTACAGTGCTGATGAAAATGGCGGGAATGGCCTGTCCGACATAGCTAAAAAGCTTTATATTCAAGTTATGAACATATCTACCGTATAACACGTCTTTTGTCTTTAATGGTGGCCTCTTCTAAGGACAGACAAAAATCCTCCCGAAGATTTCCTTCGATCCTCACCTTCATCTTCTACCTATTTTACAAATTTATGCAGCGTTAAGCTTTTGATTTTTATGTTCATATTCATTATTTGTACCAGATTGTGCTTCGGAAAAGGGTGAAGAGAAGGAAGAGCGTGACCGTTTGAAAATAAGAGAGAAAATAAAAAATGCCATTCCCAGAGAATGAGAACAAACCTCCTTGGCAATTTGCTGTAAAATCTCTATAATTTCAGCGAAATCGGGTCTTAGTGCCGGATCTTGCTGCCAGCATCTCTCGAGAAGTTCAGTGAGCCTCGGGTTAGCATGCTTTGGAATTGTAGGACGTAGACCCTAGAATCGATATGAATTTAAAAAAAAAAGTGATCACCGTTGATCTAAGCACTACAAAAATAACCTTTTCTAAACCGTAAGATTAAATGGATAGAGACAGAAGGCAAACCTTTTGAACCACTCCAACAGCAGCTTGTAATGGTGTTAAGAACTCGTATGGAATCTGAAAATGCAAACAAAGGCAAATAACCAGGGGAACCAACGAACAAACCAAAACAAACCAGCAGGCATCTTCGGGACTTCAGTTCTCTAATTAACTTTTACTGGAAATTAACTGACTGGATCAGCTAGCATTCATTAAGCCAAACCACATTTCTAGAACATGATACACAGCATACTATGCCCGTATCCTTTTTCATAATTCGTAGGACACCCAAAGGAGAGTTTAGGGATATTCATGGAACAGTTTCTAACGGCTCTCGCAATAAGACCTCACCTCAGGAGCCATCCATCTATATGTTCCAATTTCAGCTGTCATAACTCCAGATTGAGCTTTCAGTCTAGCAACCCCAAAACCAGCAACCTTGACCACCTGTAATGCAAAGCCTTTATTAGAATTTAACCAAAATGAATTGTTCCCAAGCAAAATTTCAGTAAAGGAGTAATCCCTGAGAAGCTTAAGTCAATTCCATGTACAAACTTAAGTAACTTCAATCATCTTACTTCATTTTCATCCATTAGAAGATTGGCAGCCTTCAAATCCCTATGGATTATATTATTTTGATGCAAGTAGTTCATTCCTTTAGAAATATCAATTGCAACTTTAAGCAAGGTTGGAAGCTTGAAAACACCCTTGTGTTTGTGAAGATAGTCGTATACACTTCCACCAGACATAAATTCTGCAGAGAGAAATGGCAGAAAGAAACCTAGCATTAGCATTTTCTTTCAACCACAAAAGAATAACAAAGTGAGAATGATCAATGATCATAAATTTCACTTTCATCAAGTTAATAAAGACAGCTAAAGAATCAGTAGGGTACCTGCTATAATAAACAAGTTTGGTGGCTTGGTACACGCACCAATAAATTGCACAACGTTCTTATGCCGAACTTTCCTGCACATTTGAAGGAAATTTCTTATGAGCGGAATAGATTACTCCTGGAACTAAGAAGCACTCCATTCTGATAAAATAAAAAAAATCTGCAGATGTCATATTGTTAGAATTAAAAGTTAGAATCATTGAGGCATTTCATCACAATAAAAACTTCCTGGGCAAACTCTTTCTGCAAATCAGTATTTATACTCTCTGGCTTGAGGACCTTAATTGTCACACCCCAATAATTAGAGTTCAAATTAAATTGTTTTAATTTTCATTTGAGGGATCAAATTGTAAAGTTTTGTCAAATCTTGAGTTGTTTCGTAGGCCTCTAAAGTCTGAACAGTTTAGGGGCTTGAAGCCTGATTTTTCCATCGTTATTTGGCTAAAAAATCTGAATGAATGAAACCAAGCTGTTAGGTTTCGAACCCGCGTGCTATAGCATGGATAACCATGCCTCTACCATTAGGATAGGAACAATTTGGTATTAAAACATTCAAAATACATTTTAACTTTATAGATTAGTTTTTAATGCCCAAAACCCGTTCTTTTTTCCACTAGAAAAATCACCCCAATGTTGTAACCTTTGCAAAATCGTCCCTCAAACATCTTCTTCACCGACGAGTCCCAACACCGTTCAGTTGCCTCCGACCAGCGTTGGAGTATACCGCCACCTCCAGCCATGGTTTTAAATAGCGCTCACGGTCACGTTTTCGGTCGCATCGTGTTTATCACGGTTGCAGACATAACGGATGTCATTGCGAGTATCGCGATCGTGAATTTTTTTAAATGTCGTACAACTTACCCTAAAATGACTAAATTAAATATAATTAAAATAAAATTGTAAAATTTAAATTGTAAAAATTTATATTATTGAAATTGAGACTAAATTAAATAAAAAATAAAGTTTACATTTTAAACTAGGGATTAAATTATAAATTCTAAAAGTTGGAGGGATGTCAAATTAATATATCCTTTAAAATTATATTTTAAAAATTATTAAAAAAAGAATAAATAAAGGCCCTCCCCCTTTCCCCCGACCTTTGTGCTTTGACATTCCCCCTTCCTCCTCCTCCTTCACCTTTCTGCTTTTCCTCCTCCCCTTTCCTCCTGCATGTTTATTCTCGCTGGCGATTACACTATGTTTCCCAAAGGAAGATTATTCCAGAAGATCAGCAGTCTAGCCCAGTTATTTTTCTTCCAGTCGCTTTCTCAGGTTCGTCGATCCTCTCAAATTTCTTATTCTCCTCCCCTTCCACCCCCGATTTCATTGTCTGAAACAAAACAAAAATATTCTTTCACTCTCAACTCCCCCTTCCTCCTCCCCGACTTCTCATTTTTTTTGAAACAAAGAAAAAATTGCGGTTGAAAATTGAAATCACGGTTGGAATAACGCTTATTGCGTCCTGTGATCGGCGCAATCGTCTGTTTCCCGTTAAATTGCGGACGCAATCGACCGCGAACGGTGTGAAACCATGACCCATCGCAAAAACCATGAATAGTAGTTTCGAACGGTGGCACGACCGTAATATCACAACCACTATAGCATTTTCGGAACGCTATTTGATACCCTGCCTCCAACTGTATGGCCACCGTCTCGCGACCCTGTCCCCCGACCATTAAACACCCAGATCGATCTCTGTTCGTCGTAAAACAGGGAAGTGACGCTCGAAAGACCCATCGTTGATCTCGGCCATGACTCACCGGTGATTGTCACCGCCCTTACTCGTGAAAGTGTCTCCCTCGTCCGATCATAACCCAATGACCCACTCATCGAGCCTTGCCGCCGTTCGTCGTGGAGAGCTCATTGAAGGTTCGATGAAAACCCAAAGCTCTCATTCGAATTTTTGATGATTTCCAACCACACCAACTGTCCATTCGCCTCGTCGCCTATGCCGATGAACTCATCGCGTTGATCCAAGAAAAACCCAACCAATGGGTCGTTCCACCGTCGTCAATTTCTTTTTATGTCACGGAGGTAAGCTTTTAATTGTTTGTCAGTTATTTCAACGTGGTGTTGGCACGTTATTTATGTTGTTTTGGGTTACTTGTAATGTTGTAATGCATTTGGAGTAATTTGATCGTCGAAATCAACCTCCTAGAACCAGTTCAAGTAGCTTGAGTCAACCCGAACCGATATTGACCCGTTGACTTTGACCTGCCCGTTGATCGTTTTCCAGACCCGTTGACCTTGACCTTTAACCAATTTGACCATTAACTTTGACCAAAAAGTCAAAATTTCCCAAAAAGTCATATTATATGTTTTTCGACGTCTTGAGTCCAAATCTGAAGTCCGCTTTGCCAAATTCAAACTCAATAAGCTGTTTTTTGGCATTTTATCTTCTGATTCAATACGAATTTTCACGTTTAAGTTATGTTTCTAATATAATTGGTTTTGCCATGTATCCAAGACATTATGAGAAGTGGAATTAAAGTTCAAGGGCGATTAAATAAAGTTTAATTGGTTAACTGATGTGGCTCGTAAATCGAGATAATATTCTACTACCTTTTGTATGTTTTTCAGAACTCATTAATATTCTACTACCTTTTGTATGTATTTAATTATCATTGGACTCAAATTGAATATGAAATAAGGGCAGAATACTATATAAGACTCAGACGGCTCGCAAAAGAAATTGGTAGACCGATTGGAAATAACTCTAAGTTCAGTGATTAGTTAGTAAATAAATTGACTTTAGAATCCAAATTTTTGATTAATTTGTTTAAAGGTTAAATGTCAGGAATACTTGGTTAAGAACTTACAAAAATAACTCTATGGAGTAAAATTACAAAAATGCCCTTGTAATATAAAAAGACCAAGATTGCCCTTGAAAGTGAAAAAATAACCCATAAAGAACATACTTGACCAACTTACTAGAAAAAGTGCATATGTTTGTTTTGAAAAGAATTACCAAAATGTCATCGAGCTGCGAAAGAACTAAAATATCCTCCGATATTCAAATGACTAAAATACCTCTGAACCCTAAAGGGATTGGAATACCTTGAACTCTAAGATAACTGAAGTAACATTGAGTGTTGAAGTGACCTAAATATCCTAATAACTTGGAATAAGTGAATGTCTTTGGATAAATTCTAGAAATACCAATAAACTTTGTATCATCCCTAAAGGTTATGGAGCACGACCGAGACATCCCTAACGTTCTTGATACTGATACAATACGAAAATAAATAATACCATCGGAAAACTTATTCGACTCTTTGAGAACTGATCCATGATGATTTTGAAGGTGATCAGTTCAGCTAGTGCAGTTAGTATTAAGAATAGAATGTTGTGAAGGATCTCGGTCTGAATTGTACTGTTGGGATCTAATTAGTCTGATCTGACTCGAAATTCAGAAAATTCAATATAAATCTTGGATATCATAAATCATCGTTTACCATTATTGGATTAAGTTACCAAGAATTTTTCATGAATTAAAATGTCAAAAATGTCCCGAGCAAACCGAGTAATGGAATCCCTCTTGATATATTTATACGAATGCTAACTTTTTCCAAATATATATAAACCTTAAATGATTATGATGTAAGGTTTTTGAATACATTTTTGATGCACCTAAAATCCTAAGTGATCCAGAAGTATCAATTCCTGAATGTCTGATTAGATCCGTTAGTAATCGAATCTTTTTTATAGGGACCGTGTATCTGAAATCCAATCAATCTATAGAAATTCTACGTTTTCCCTTCTTGATAACGATCAAGTACCTTTAAAAAAATTAACTGAATCTTCTAGTGTGTTCTCTGTGTTATATGTTCGTTTTATTTGTATTGAAATTATAAATTGATATATGGTTGATTTACAATTGTTTTTACTGATTGATATAATGATTTACTGGTTACTTGTTTTACTAGAAAAATGAAATATGTATGATGTATAGATCATGGAACTACTACTTGTTATTTTAACTGTTTTATTGGTACACCATCTGGGTAGGTTGGAGTATGGAGGTTTAACTCTAATCAAGCTGGTAAATCCTTACGGACCTAAGGTGACCCTTGGATAAGCTTTTATGCCCTAAAATGTTCCCTTAGATAGGCTTTCAGGCCCCGAGGTGCTTCCCTTGGGTAGGCTCTGAGGCCTATTCCTTAGGTAGGCTCTAAGGCCAAGGTATTTCCTTAGGTAGGCTCGCACTTCTGGGAATTGCATATCAGTATTTGGGTGGAGGGTACTACATTGATTTTAA